GGGGGGGGGGGGGGGGGGGGGGGGGGGGGGGGGGGGGGGGGGGGGGGGGGGGGGGGGGGGGGGCACTCATGTAAACACATGCTTTGTTGGTTGCGGTGTCAACGCTAAAAAAAAATGATGCAATCTCTGCCCATTAGTAGTCGTTAGACCATTGAGCTCGCATCCATGCTGTAGTCGTTGGACAGTTGGCCTCGCATCCCTACAATGCCGGAACGGAGCGATATGCGGATTTTCTTTGGCCAAGGGTATGTTTCATAAGGATGAACCAGAAGCTGAGTCATCATCTCTTGCGTGCGCTCTGGCCCGGCGGGTTTTGATCAACGAATTTGCAAAAAAAAAACTTCGAACAAGTGTTAAAGCGTGTTGTGTGGGGTATGTGGTGTCTCACGTTGCCCTACTATTACTCTACTTGATCTGGGAGCAGTTTCACGCTTTCGGCTCACGTTAATCCGAACAAATGCTACAGCAATATATACTACTGTACTGTATCACCGGGTGTGTCGTTTCATGTGGGTGTGTTATCTTGTGTCGAATGCAGAATATAAGCCTGTGTGTACAGATTCGCAATTTGTTCGTTTGATTTGGTCCTGCTGCTTGCTTTACTTTCATATTGCATCATCACCCCTTTGATGACACTGCCAGGCTCTCGTGAACCCACGCCAGAGAGGTGACTTGTACGAAAAAAAAAAATAGCAATGTGTTTCCTTGTGTTACTTTCTCCCTGCTTTGTCACCTGAACACCGCTGAAACCCCACCGTCCCCGACCCTGAGCGCGGTCTTGAGTTTCACCTGACGCGGGAGGAATCTCCTGGAATCTAACTCCACCTGGACAGCAACAAGGAGCAGAATGGTCGCGACAGACATACACCGCGAGAATGAGCAGGGGCCAGAGGAGGGTACGGCAGCAGTAGGTGTATCTCTAGCCGATTTACGGTACAAGTTGTAACGAAGGTAAAAAAACATTCCAGGTTGTGATTTTAAATAGTTAGAAAAGACGGGTTCGTTGCGTTAAAAAAAATTGCGCCGATCCCATCCTCTGTGCATGTACTGTTGGTCATTCCTGCCGTCGCCATCGCCAATGATGGTGGGAATGATAATGCTGTCGCCGTTATTGTTGCTGCTGTTCGGTCATGTGGCGGTTGCTATTGTGTTGCCATATTGGTGCTGTCGTCATCGCCAATGATGATGATGATGTGACGCTGTTGTTGCTCCTGCCGTTTTTCTTATCCGGGCATGTAGCGGGACCCACCCAAAGTTTTCGCGTCTCTAAATCCCGGAAGCATTCACCAGCTTCACGGACTACACCACCACACAAACTGCGGCATCATAACCACACAGCTCAACTGCGCCTTGCCATCGCGACGAAATCAACTCACCTCCATGCCTCGAACCCCTATCTTCCCGCCTAGCTGTATCATCCTCGAGGGGGCGATGGTGTGCCGATAAGAGAGTCGGAGGCCTAGATCCATCCACGATCTGTGCCCTATAGCTACCTGTCGTTGGAAGCGGTTTGAGGAGCGAGGAGCACGAAGCGCAGCGTGTGCATCAGGGTTGGTGGGCGCAAGCGGGCTGCTTTGCAATACATGGGGGAAAAATGTGGGTCAGGCGTGTCTCAAAGTCCGCGCGCGAAGGTGTGACGGGAGAGAGAGAAGGCGAGAGAGAGAGAAGGCGAGAGAGAGACAAAGGCGGGGGGAGAGGGATAAGAAAGACCACAGGGATTAATTCCTTGCGGAGAAGAAGAACGCGTTTCCTCCGTAGAAGCGGGACAGTTCTCCATTACGTAGAGTCAGGCCCAAAATGGAGATAAAAAACTAGGTTTACTAACCCAGCTCAAGAGAGCGGACCTCAACAAATACGCTGCACGACAACTGAGGAGAACAACACGAGGCGATGGAAAACCAAGCCCGGCGATCGAGAGCGAGAAACCAGAGAATCCGGCAGACAGGAACAACAATGTCACGGGGCATACAAAAGCATATAGAGGGAAGTGGCAAACAAGAACCCCGTCATGAACAGGCGAGGGAAGACAAGAAAAAGAGGCAGGAACAGGGCTACGTACAATAGGCACCAACAAGAAGGCCGTGAACCAATGACGTAGACATTCACAACATGTTTGGGCAATCGAGAGCAATACACATTCAGACGTGATGTAGGGTACGGTGTGAATTCCTCTTCGTCCTGTTCTAGGCAGGAACAGGGCTTACGTACAGTAGGCACGAACAAGAAGGACGTGTCCCAATGGCATAGACATTCGCAACATGGTACCGTGTGAATTCCTTTTCGTCCTGTTCCAGGACGAAAGAAGTAGGCACGGACAACCATCTATCCAAAATACACAATTCAGCGTGCGTACTACATACAGAAGCGCCCAAATTCAAACCGCCAGACTAGTCGGGGCTGATTCGTCAATAGACCCCCTACCAGTCCCTCCTGAGGTGATTGCCTTCGATTATTTACCGCGAGAAGAGTGCAGCACCACCTTCCCTCAACACAACCAAATGTGTTGAAACGTACATACGCTGCGAAAAAAATAAGTGAACAAAAAAAAACGTACCTCCCCAGCAAGAGTCCCGGTTCCGTCTCCGACCAGCCTTGTGACGTGCACGGTCACAGCATCATCCGCGGCACCGCCTTCCTTGCCTCCTACAACTTCCCACGACATGTCTACCACCTGTACGCGAGTGTTTTAATGCCAGAGAGAGGGGGGAGCGAGACAGACAGACAGATAGGGAGTGTGAGGGAGAGAGAGAGAGAGAGAGAGAGAGAGAGAGAGAGAGAGAGAGAGAGATAATAGAAGCCAAGATGCGAGTGTAAGGCCAAAAAGGCTAGATGAGAAGGCGACCGTGTTTGGCCAAGTCTGAGCAGGTCGAGGACAAAGCGAACCACTGCTGTACGGTGCGTCGAGCAACCCTACCGCAAGGCACACGGGACGCAAGAATTTGGTGGGCTTGCACACGTTCATATTGCCCCCCTTCCTCCCTCCCAGCAGATACGGAAGAAGATGACAACCACATCTGGATACCACAATGCAGCACTGACAACCACAAACCGCAACTGCTAATAAGAACGTTTGGCAATCAACAAAACCAATAGCAGCAGCAACAGCCAACAACAACAACAACAACAACTTCAGCGACGAGTAACAGCAGCCAACAAGGACCGCCACACCCATAGAAAAAAAACATGACATTCAATAACAGCGACCAACCACAAAACGACGTGTGGCATACAGATTGTTGCGTGACCGCAGTGTGTGATGAGCTGGGCAACCTCACCGTGACCGGGTCCAAGCGCTCCGTCGTGGACACCCTCAACCCCAGCCCTCCGTCGGGTTCGTACGTGCACTGGCTCTGCGCGGGTAGAAGGTGTGTTGTTGTTGTTGTTGTTGTTGCTGCTGCTGCTGCTGCTGCTACTGTCGTGCTTTGTTGGCGACAGTGATTGGTGGTGACGGTGCCACTGCTGTTGGCGGTGGAACATATAGCGAGCTTGGCAACGTTGTTCAAGTTGACGATTTCGTCATCGTCGTGCTTGGCCGCAGTGACGGTGGTGATGGTGATGACGCCACTGCCTGCTATACTAAAACTGTTGGCGAGCTTGTGAGGCAACGTCTTACCAAGATGCGTAGCTTGTCTCGTCATTGTCGGGCTTGGTTGGTCATGGCTACACGAGTCTGATAGGCAACGTTGTCCAAGATGAAAGATGCTCTTGTTTTCGATCATTCTCGTCCATGGTTGGCCAGGGTTACGATGCCGATTGTGTTGTCGCTACCTTTGACGAGCTTGTTTGGCAACATTGCTCAAGATGACATGGTTGTCGTCGTCGTTGCTGTTAGGGTTGGTGTTTGCGTAGAGCAGGGGGGGGTGTACTCATAGTCGTGCATGCCGTAGTCGTTAGACGATGACCTCGCATCCCTACAAAGCCGGGACGGAGCACGCCGGGTTCTCACCCGGACCAGGCTCTCACATCACNATTTATTTTCTGGTGCTTTCACTTCCAGAGACAGTTGCAGGCACTGTGTAACTGCCTCGAGGGTGCTTGACCATTTTAACACAACGTGGTGCGATCATCCCCCTTGCGCGGAGTGAGGGTTCTCGACCCCGCACAACATGATCTACTCGACCACAATTATGGTTACCGCCAAAAAACAGTAACCTGGTTGCCGAGTTCACGAAGCGAACAAAATGAATTGGCTTGTTTTACAACGTCGTTGCCAAGCGACGAAGACTCGATTAGGGGAGGGGGGGGGGGGGGTGTACTCATAGTCGTGCATGCCGTAGTCGTT